CGTTCTGCATGGAGCACTGGGTGTTATGCACAAACAATGAATCATGGAACACTACATCTAAAACTAATGATGTAATGTATGGGGATTAACATAAGAAAAAAAAAATTCTGTTTATGTCCTACTGCATGCAGGACACCGCATTTGATATTTAGTAGATACAACATAAAACCGAAGAGGCAAGAAAGTATATGGGACTAGAGGGAACACTTGGTCTCCTTCGAAAGCTTTCCTTCTTTTGCCAGCCTCCTTAATCTTGTATTCTCTACAATCTTCTCTTACGCCTGCTCCTCTTCTTGTTCTACTCTCTGGGAGAGCTCATCCACTTCTACCTCACTAGTACTCCCTAGTTTCCCAGGGACTTCTAAATCACCTCCCTAGTCCCAATCTCTCCTCCAAGATTCATACTCCTAGTTCCAGCTACCCACTGGAATTCATCTGCCTGGATGTCCTCCATGCTGTCCAACAGAATTTTCTGTGATGATAGAAATGCTCTCTACCCAATATGGACGATATTGGCCAATATTGCAGCCATAATCGTCCTTAAACAAAATTTAAAATTCAGTTCCTCAGTTTTACTAGCCACATTTCAAGTAATATCCACGTGTGCTTGGTAGCTTCTATACTGGACAGTGCAGCTGTAGTCAGCTCTCTCTCAAACTGAACTCACTGTCCTCCCCAAACTATCCCTATTCCTCTATTTCCTACCTTGAATATTATCACCAGGCATCTAATTCTCACATGGGGTAAGAAAAATCTCATCATACCAGACTTTTCCCTCTTCCTCACAGCCCATCCTCATCTACATGGTACCCAAATTGTGTCTACTCTACCACAGAAATTTACTAAATCCAGCCTCTTCACTGGATCCCTATTCTTCTACAGGCCCTTCTGATTTCTGGCTTGAGCTACTACAGAGCTTCTTAGGCAGTCTCACTGAGGCTTTCCCACTCCAAACTTTCTTCTACATTACTGCTGGTTGTTTAAGAACAAATCTAATCGTTCCATTCCCACCTTCTTTAAAATTCCTGTTGGTTCCTACCCAATTCATTGTTATACCCCTAGCATTCAGCATGGACTTGGGCCACATGTACTTGGTGTTTGATGAAAAAATGAATTTTACAGACAGAAAAGCAAAGAGATATCCTTTTCCCTAGGAGAGAACTGTTTACCTATCTAAACTGCAGATGTTTAGAGAAGCAGCTTACTCCAGGCAAATACTAGATACCTAATTCTGCCCCCTCGTGTCTATATAAAAGTCCATCATCTAATGTTGTGGCAAACATCACAGCTGCAGCTTCTATGGGGATAAATTTATCGACTCAGACCTTGGCCTAACTGGACTTCCATTTCCCTTACTTCTTTTCTCAGGCACAGATCCAGTGGATTTACCATCCACCAATATCCTTGCAGGTAAAGTAAGAATTTCCTAATTTTCATGACATTGTAACAACCAATCTTTCTGTACTTTTTGAAATGGTCCTATTGTGTGGTTTTCTAATACCTAAGTGGTCCAGGCATTGACTAAAAACTCAGAATGAGAAAATAATCAATTCTTTACCAGGTTTTTATTATGTCTGTACACGTGCCAGCCGCTCTAGTGGAACACAAGCACAGTTGTCATACCCATGACACAAGCCCCCTTTTCTTCTCCTTTATCTGTTGCCATCACCTGCAGCATCTTCCCTGTACACTTCCAGCCTCACTGATCACTATCAATTCCAATCACCTTCACCTCTACCCATTCTTACTTCCAATCATGCCTAGAATTATGCACTCTTTCAAGTATTTCTTCAGTCTTCTTACACCTATCTCCACTATATCTACTTGAACCTCATTGGAAAACGAATGCTTTGGTATCTCCCTGTTCTTGAAGTATAATGGTCACCTCATAGCTTCACTTCCTTCCCTACACAGCCCAGATACCAGAATGCATCAATTCAACCATACTCACCAGTATCTCAATTTCCCTTGCCCCTGTTGTTTTATTAGTCACATTCAGCAGAACTCCAACCGTAAGCCATCCGTGTATTCATTCACTGTGGAAATACTGAACACATACTAAATGTCCACCATTAGTTTCTGCTTCTACTCCCACAGTGCTGAATGCTACCAGGACAAAATCACAAATCTTGGTGTCCCATACAATATGCCATGTCTTAAGGGGAGGCCTCAGGCCTCAGCACTCATCAGTAATTCTTAGCTAACCCTCTCTCCATGCCCCTCAGTGGCCATTTTCTCATTCCTCTCCTCAAACCCAATCTTACTTACGAGCCACCTTTCTCAGAAGTTGGCACTGCTTCCTACTTCATGGAGAAAAGACAGGCTTTACAGTGTGAACCACCTCATCTCAAATATATCTACTCACATTTCTTTGGGCATTACATTCTTCTGCCACTTTAGAGTAAGATTTGCCTCTGCTTCTATCCATTACCAATTCACTTACCTGTGTTCTGTGCTTTGCCATTCAGGAACTCTGCTGCATCCATTACCACTCTCCTTTGCCTTTAACTTTTCCTGTCCCATGGTCTCCTTCCCAGAAAGCTTGTCTTCCCTCCATTCTAAACTTAAGAAAAAAACTCTCCTTTGATTTTATACCCCTCACAAGCTTGCTTCTGAGCATGGAACCAAGAGCAGTTGTAACTGTGTATCTCGGACTAAGATCTCAACAGGCCAGGCCTTATAAATGGGATGAGAACACCTCTCTAGTGACTCTGGCTCCTTCTCACAAAGTGGCTTTAATAATTACTGCATGTTTGCCTTTGTGACTTTTTTTCCTTTTGCTGAGTAAACATGACTGAAAACTCTGATGGACACATACAGGTAACCTGCAGGCCCACAGAGGCAATTTTATTAGCTTGTTTTGAAATTATATCAAACTTACAGAGAAATTACAAAAATAGACTTCCTGTATTTTTACCCTCAACTTTCAACATTTTGCCACAATTCACTTTATCACTGTCTCCATCTACGCATGTAGTATTTTTTTCTGAACCATTTGAGAGTAGGAAACATACACAGTGATCATGATTTAGCTTCCCATGTAGGTTTTTCTAAAGGCATCAATCCCTGGACAGATCTATATAGTAGTGCCCCCGGCCCCCATCTGCAGTTTTGCTTCTCATGTTTCAGTTATCTGCAGTCAACTATGATTCGGAAGCCTTTTGAAGTCTCTTGAGGTCAATCAATAGCAGCCAAATGCTACAACACAACGCCTAGGTCATTCACCTCATTATGTAGGCATATTACCATCTCACATCACAAGAAGAGTACAAGTTATTTTGAGACCACATTCACATAACTTTTATTACGGCATATTGTTATAACTGTCCAATTCTTATTATTGTTAATCTCTTATTGTGCCTAATTTATAAATTAAACTTTATACCATAGTTATGTATGTATAGAAAATACGACAGTGTTGGGTACTATCTAGTTGCAGGCATTCACTGGGGGGGGGGAATCTTGGAACTTATCCCTTGCAAGTAAGGGGGTACTAAGTTCTGGTCTCAGTGATAGCACATTATAGTAATTTAATGTTAACATTTCAATTGCACATAGCTTTATGAACTTAATATTAGAAATGGACCCATGCTCAGAATTCTGATGAAATCTGGTTTGTGAAGAGGAACTCTTCTCCTCTACTTCCCATCCCCTGCCCCCATTGGTGGGAACACCAGGGCTGGCGACAACCCAAACCAGGTTACGCATGGTTTCTGGTATCCTGAAGAACCTTCTGAAAATTTTTCTGAGTCTAGGGATGTGCTGACTGGCTCACTGCATCCATACTCACTGGCAGAGGATTGCAATTATTCCCCATGATGGAAGAACTCCCAGTAAGAATGGGCCATCAGCTTACCTGAATAAGTTGTTGCCCCTTTATACATACAGCCCATCATTATTACACATTAAATAGGTTGGGGAGGCCCTTGGATTGGCTCCCACAGAGCTTCCTGAGAATGGGAAGTGAAAGTAAGAAAAAGTTTTCCCGTCGTCAATCTGAAGATTCATGAAGGAGCAAGTGCAAATGCTTGGCTGCATTTCCTTTAACAAAAAAGTTGCAAAAGTCACAAAAACACTGAAAACCTGAGGTAAGATAAAATGTCTCGTGGACACTGAATTCAGATGAACAGAACAGTGTCAGGCTAAAATCTGATAGAGAGTGGAGCCCTCTGAAAGCAGAAAGCAGGTCTTGGCCAATTTTTAAAATCCCTACCACCTGGTCATCCATCCAGTATGTGCTTCAAGCACTTGTTATGTGAAAGAAAACAGAAGGGATTTACCAGTACACATACATACAGTTGCCAAAGAACTGCAGACTGATGAGAGAACATTTAGTAATCAATTACTACAGAAAGAGCCCAGGATTAATAAAGGAGCAAGTAATTGAGGGGAAATAGTGGAAGAGGGGCACACTTTACCAGAAGCCTCCTTTAGCTAGGATGGAATTCAGTTTCCAGCAGAAGAAAAATCCACATATGAAGGCTCTGCATTAGCAAGGAGCAGCACCTCCACAGACCTGAAGCAGGTTAGGATGGCCAGAGCACAAGTGAGGTGAGAGAAAACCTGAAGATGAACCAGAACCTGATTAGGCAGAGGTATGTAAACAATATTATGCTGGATTTCTGTTTGCTTTTATTAAGTATCCTAAGAATAACAGAAAGTTACTGAAGGATTTTAAATAGGGGAATGAAAAAACAAAAACAATTTTTTAAAATATCTTTTGAATGCCACATCAAGAATGGTTGGAGGCAAAAGGGTAGATGTAGAGCAACAGTGGATGCAGGCAGACCCATTATAAGAGCACAGGTGAGAGCTCATGGCTGCCTGGATTGGATTGTACAGACACATTAGAAATATTCAGTGACCAGGATCTGGGGATTGAATGAGAGGGCCGAAGGAGGAGAATCAAAGACTGGGAAATTTTTGGCCTGAACACCTAAGAGGATGATGTGATGGTGCCTGTATTAAGATGAGTTTCATGGGTTCAACTGAAAACATTAAGATAGGTTTTCACAAATGTTTGACTAAAAATACCATGTAAAATCAGAAAATGAAAGTGCATTAAGTTTTTAAAACTTAAGAAAAAACAAAATCATGTCATAATTTCAAAGTACATTCCTTGATCAACTAACTATAGCCTTCCCGTAATTTCTCAGTGTCTGAGCTTACTAAAAATGCTGACATCAATTTAGATTGTCATTTGTCATTTTAAAAGAATTTCCTACTGTCATGAGGACAAATACAAACATGACCTACAAAGCTTGGTCCCACACTCTTTGCCCTTTGGTTAACTTTGCCTTCTCTTAGTTCTTGGAATATGCTAGGCTACTCTTCTGCTTTTGGATCTTTAGACATCTTTTCCTTTGCTAAGAACACCTCTACTCCTAGCTAACATCTACTTGTTTTCTGAATTTCAATTCAGCCATCACTTCCACATGAGATTAGGCCCCCACTGTATGTTCTTATAGGAAATTATACTTTCTCTTCAGAGAACTTATAGTTTGTAATATTTACCTATGTCCCGTGAAGGCAAGAAGATCTGCTTTGTTCTATCACTGAATTCCTAAAAACATAGTAAAGAACCTGTCACACTGCAGGCATTCCAACTTCTGTTGAACAACGAATGAATATGGTAGCAAGGCAAACTGAAGGCTGAATTAGACTTAATCCAAGTTCTGTTCTCCCCTGGCAATCTTACTTTAGGATAGATGGAAAGCACTTTGTCATCTCTAAAACAGGGTAAAACATAAACATAACCACTATGTTTTAGAACTACCAAATGTAAAAAACAACCACTACTAAGAACTACCAATGTAAAAGAAGTTTGGCAAGGGTTTTTTGTTTTTAGTAAGCTAAATGCTACATAGCTGCATTCTGTTGAAGACATATATTCCTCATAATCAGATTAAAGAACTAAAATAATTAAAGCTGTGCAGTTAAACACAGATCACCTTAAATTTATATATCCTGAACTATTTTCAAGATTTTAGCTCCTCTATTTTTTTTTTTTTTAAAGGCAATACTGCATAGGAAAATTTCTGGATTCTTGTTTTAAAGTATTACTATTTTATTTTTTATTTTGCTGAATACACATTTGTTTCACTGGCAGCCCAGATAAACAAGTATATAAAGGAAATATTTAAATTTTTCTTTTGGCAGATGTCAAGATAAACTGTGCAGATTAAAATGCCTCAATTTAACCTGAAGAAATGGTTTTGAATCATACAAATTTTTAAGAAGAAAAATAAAGACTGTCCAAAGGGATTCTGCTAGCTTATAACACATTTCCAGAATAACTCTCAAAAAAAAAAAAAAAAAAAGAAATTCAAAAATACTCATTGACTACTTTAAAAATATGTCAATACCATATGGCTTTATGAAATAACTTCTAAAATTTATATTTTTTTTATTTAAAAAGGATCCCAAGTTTTAAATAAACTACTAGCAGTATCATTTTCCTCACTTAAAAGTGCGTATCTCTGAGGGTAGGACATACATACTTTTCGAACAAATAATGATTTTTACAAATTTTTAACACACACACAAAAAAATCACTTAAAATATTTTTAAGAGGGAAAAGAGCTTTCACCAAAAGTCATCTTTAAATAGACTGCAGTAGATGACACTGTTCTTTTCTTTTTTTTTTAATACCATCAGAATTCTCAATGAGATGCTTTGGCAGTTTTAAGACATATCATGGTCTCTACCAAGAGACACTGACATTAATGATGTCCGTGGAGATGGCAATTGCCTTGATGGCTCAGTTTGAAAAGAGATATTACTGGGCTGATTCTCCAAATCAGAGGCAAAAGTACTCTCTTCTCTTACATCAAGAGTTTGTTCAACTGAAGCTGCCTGGAGTGGAATATTATCCATAGTTTTGTTGGCATTATTCAAGTTGTTATTAAGTGTGGTAATACTACACTCCTTGTCTAGGATGCCAAATTCATCTTCTATTGTAACTACCTCTTTAGCTTCAAATGGTTCCAAGGGAGGAGGCAAAAACTCATTTTGTAGAGAGTCCTGAGGACCACTATTGTCACATTCTGTATCCTCCTTTACTTCTGAATCCTTATCACTATCGCTATCAATGGTAATTACAACTGGTGAACGTGAAAGATTGTCCCCATGATGTTTCTTATGTTTCTTCTTGTGCTTCTTCTTTTTCTTTTTATGATGTCTAGTTGTATCAGTAGCTTTCCCTTCATAAACTATCTCTACACTTAGGCTCCGGGTCCTCCTTTTTTTCCTCTTGTGTTTTGTCTCTCTGTCTGATGATCGGCTGTCTGAGAAGCTGTCACTCTCATTTTTGTGGCTGCCATCCAATTTTGATGAGGATTTTTGGTAATGACTTTCCTTTACTTTAGAAGCAAATTCACGAGAAGGTTGAGCCACTTCATTAGTACCCTCCAAATGCCGTGTCTTGTATTTTCGTTTCCCTCCAGGCTTTTCATTTCTTACCCAGTCAGGCCCGGTAGATGCAGTCTTTGATCTATTACTGGATAGGCTCCTTGATCTATGCCTTTCATAGTAGTAATACTTTCTTTCACTGTGATTATTTTTTTTCCTAGCATTTGTTCTTTCAGAAAAGGACTGAATTCTAAATTCTGGACTTGAAGATTGTCTGGAATAATGAGCTCTGGACAGAGTCCTCCTCCTATAAGATGATTCATAGCCATCCCTGTCCTTGTTTCTACTATAATAAGTATACTCCCACTTATATCTGCTTCCATAATTATTTCTTAAATAATAACGATCTCTATTTCTGCTCCGTGATCTTCTTTTACCATGATCACTGCTACGAGATCTTGATCTGCTGGTGCTTTCACTACTGAGAGAGAGAGTTTGGCTTCTTCTTGACCAACTGCTATCTCTAGTTCTTGATCTCTTTTTGTCTCTTCTACCTCTAGGTCTGCTACTCTCCCTGCTTCTGGACCTTTTGCTTTTCATCCTTTTCTTCCCATGATGCTTTCTACGATTCTTCTGATCATGCCCACTTCTACTCTGGGAACGTGAATCTGAACTTCTTGATCTTCCCCTCCTCCTGTGTCTACGGTTATATGGGGAATATACTCTGTCTCCTCTGATAGATGAGCTCAGGTCTCTGGGAGACGACAAGGACGTAGAGTGTTTCTCTTCCTTTTTTGACTTGATTCTTTTACCAGAACCACAGTGACCTTTATTCATTTGCTCATCCTTTCCAAGGACAGAGCGTGGAGATGAACATCTACTAACATCACTATCACCAGAACTGTAAGACTGTTCTTGTGTCTTCACAGTCTCCATTTTCTCATAAGAGCCTAACTCCTCAGAATCAGAGGACAGTTCAACAAGTTCTGGGGTCCTTTCTGCTAGTGGTTTAACAAACCCAACAATGACACAATTATCTGAAGAAGAATCACTGTCATTATTTAGGTCTTCATTAGATTGTACTCCTTGTATCTGAGACGTGGCTCTTCCTGTTACAAGTTCTTCATCTGAACTATCAGAAGTATTTAAAAGGGAAGACATGGCAGCGTGCACCTGCTCTGAGCTTGAGTAAGATGGCCCTGGAGTTTCATCATCCCATGGTGCCTGACTAACAGTGGTTACATTGATATCCAACTCTTGGGTCTCAGCTTCATCAGGAGATATTGTTATGACTGAAGAATCAGAATGGCTACCTTCTTCATATGAAGGAGCAGGGCAATCATAATTAGCATGCTGGTCAAAAGCTGCCATGTTAAAAGGAGATCGAGCAAAACTGATAAATTCATGTATAAAATGCTCAGTCCGATTAAGTAGAAACGGTCTTAAGTCAGACACAAATTCCCGACTCTCCAAGTCATAGCGAGTAACATTACTCATGATGATGTGCTGGACGATATTCACTAAAGATCCATGAGCTCCAAAAAGAACTGTAAGTTCACGTTTTAACCAGGGGACTAATCTGTGAAGGCAAGCTGGATTTCTACGGAAAAATTCAGCTGAAATATCCCTGCAGCGACCACCATCTTCAATATTTCTAACACGGGCACCAGCACGGTACAGAGTTCGTCTAAAATTAATAATGTCCTGTTCTTGAATTTTCCGCAAAGATCTTTCATCTGCAGTAGTTGGCCTCCTAATTGCAATCTGTCTCATAAGTTGAGGAATTTCACCATTTCTAGGTCTTGTTGAAATGCCTAACCCTTCAAATAGCACTCCACTATCTGGTGGAGTTGTTGTTCTTCTATTCATGGTATTATTAGGTGAATAAACAGAAGCACTTCGATCCCTTGTCATAGTTGTACGATAGCGAAATCGTGGAACATCAGGGGTTGCAAAAGAACCATTATATGAAGGCCTTAGGACATACTCCTTGAAGTCATCTTCTGCCCTCACAGAATGGAAAATAGAATCAAAGGGCTGTTTACATAGTGGACATTCAGCTTTGTTTTTTGACCACTCCTGTACACAGCGAAAACAGAACTTATGTAAACAGCGATCTAAGTAAGACACATTATCAAATCTATCCAAGCATATAGGACACTTAGAATCAGGAGATGCATCAGCTGGTACTGTCTGTTGCAATTTGCTAGTACCAGCTTTAGGTGAAAAGTTGTCCATTTTAAATTCCTTAGCAGCTGATGCCATTATCTGTAAAAGGGAAAAAAATACATCAGTAACTGGATAAAAATAATAAATCTGAAAAAAAAAGTGCAAATAATGACTGTGAAACATACTTTGGTGAAAATAGTTGAGTAGCTCATTATCCTCGTAATATGAAGGGGCAGTGTAGCACAGCAATATAGTACTTAAAACACAAACTCTAAAGTTAGATATTTCCTGGGTTTGAATCCTCGTTCTATACCAGCAGTGTGACTATGCACATCAGCAATAATAGAACCTGCATCACAGGGTTTATGAAGATATAAAAAGCCCTTAGAGAAAAGGTGCCTAGTACATAGTAAGCTCTCAAATATTCTGTAGCATTCTATTCTTTTAAAAGAGAATTTAATGGAGAAATATTTAACTGAAAGTAACTGAGAAAAGAAAATCTACCAAGTACCCATGTATCCAACACTCAGATTTAACAACTTAACATTTTCTCAAGGCTATTCCAATTTTTTTTAAATGTCCTCCTATCCTTCTCTAGAAAACAAAAACCCAAAACACCACAGTCCTCAGCAGGTGTTATTTCTATGTATGGTTTTAGATCTTTCATACATATGCCCTGAACAATATAGACTACTGACTTGTTTTATTTGTGGAAAGCACTGTATATGCACCTTTAAAAATAACTGTAGTGAGATAATTTGCATACCAAAAAGTTCACCCATTTAAACCAATTCTGTTTTAGTTTAGTTTAGTTAGTTTTTAGTGGAAGATTCTTTCACACACACAAAAATTATCTTTTAGTGAAGACTAAATTAAATAGTAATTGTAAAAGCATTCAAAGATAGTTCCTGACTCCTAGCAACTACTACGTACATGTTAGTTGTTGTTATTATTACTATACTATTGTTACACTACCATATTCAATTCCTCACTGATTCCTTAACAGCTTCCCTAAAAAGCCTTGCTTAGCTTTTTTATTTAAATCCAAAGTCAGCCACAAAGTTTCTTGAAATCATGCTTCCAGGGCCGTTCCCTTATTTTTTCCCACAAGGATTGCTAAAATGTTAACGATTAGTTTTGTTTTCTTTAACTTTATCAGTTTATGTTGACCCATAACTTTCAAAATAATTTGCCAGAGCTGAAGTTTGGTGTGCATCACATTTGTGGCCTTGTTATCTTATAAAATCACTCTTTAGCTGCATTCTATACTAATCATTGAGTATATATTAAGTATTTGCTTCTTCCTTTATGTTTCCTGGGCCTATTATTCATTGTCTCCACCTCTTCTATCACAGGAAGTTCCATCGTGGTCAACTGCTATCAGGTTAGTCAAATAATAGAATTATAACTTTCTAAACACTGGCCATACCTAACTCTTAACAAAAACAAAATCCATAACAAAAATTCATGACTGTGAAATGTAACTATTTCATTATGGTTTTCATATTAAACTTAAGAGCTCATCTAGGGCATCTTAACTTTCTCAGAGACATAACTTAACTGGAAATCAATTAATGCTGAACGAATGCTTCTTCAGGCATCCAAGTATTTCTAGTCTTCCATTTTCTAGACTAGAAATAAGAAATCACCACTGTTCTTAAACAGCATATAATTATAAACTGCTTTTATTAATATACTGAACTATATACAATACTAATTGTTAATATATTTAAACCTTAATATTACATAAATTTCTCAGCATTTCCCCTTACTTGTAACACTTTTATTCTCCCTCGGAGGAAAAAAAAAAAAGCCTAAAAATAAAAATTTTTAGGATCACAGAGTCTGTACATTAGGGGAAGGAAGAGTGGAGAGGAAACTGGGTAGGTTATCGGAGAACCTGGATTGAAGAACAGGTTTCCCCTAAAACTAACTCTATAAACTGGAGACATCCAATTAGATCTAGATTTCAGTTTGCCCCTCTACATAATAAAGGAATTTTTAGACTTTTTCAAAAGACTGGTGAATTTAAAGTTAATACATTGTATCTTAAGTTGTGTCTCGTAAATATAGAATTTTAGTGCTTACTGAACATTTACAGTTCACATAAAAATTATAAGCCTAAATGCATTTTATTAAAGGAAATTAGTAGGTAGTAAACTTGAAGTTCAAATAAAACAAAATCTCAACTAAGTAGAATTTTTTTTAAAAAAATGGATTCTTATGGGCGCCTGAGTGGCTCAATTAGTTAAGCATCTGCCTTCAGCTCAGGTCATAATCCCATGGTGTTGGGATCGAGCCCCGCATCGAGCCTCGCATCAGGCTCCCTGCTCAGCGAGGAGTCTGCTTCTCCCTCTCCCTCTGCCCCTGCTCATGCACTACTCTTGCTCTCTCTCCCAAATAAATAAAATCTTAAAAAAAAAAGGAATCTTAGTCTTCCCTTCCCTAGTTTTATAAGCCCGTTAACCACTTTGACAGCATAGCATAAAGCTAAAGGATGATTAGTAATATCATCCATAATAGATAAAAAGAATAGAGTTGTATTTCTCACAGTAATATCTTTATATATGAAGAATGGTATTCATCAGAAACATCAAACAATGGCAATGAATGTACATCATCAAATAAGAGATTTACTCCTTCAAAAGCATCACTAATGCTAAAATTAAAACATTTGCTAATGGGGCATCAGGCTGGCTCAGTCAGTAGAGCTCGTGACTGACTCTTGATCTCAGGGTCATGAGTTCAAGCCCCCCATTGGGTACAGAGATTACTTCTTTAAAAAATTTGCTCAAATATTTGCTGAGATACAAATGAAGTAGGATTACCATATGACTCAAGAATTCAAAACCTATCCAAAAGAAATGAAAATTTGTCCCACATAAAAACTTGCGTGTGAATATTCATAGCGGCATTTGTCGTAAGAGCTCAAACATGTAAACAATCCTATCAACTGATGAAAAGATAAATAAAATGTGGTATATCCATACAATGGAATATTACTGGGCAATAAAAAAGGATGAAACACTGATACATGCTACAATAAGGATGAAACTTTTCATTAGGCTAAATGGAAAAAAAACAAGTCACAAAAGACCACATGTTGTATGATGACAATGTCCAGAATAGGCAAATCTAAGGTTGGAAACAGACTGGTGGTTGCTGGGGGAGGGAGAGGGATTACAAAGTTTATTTCTGGAATGATGAAAATGTTCAATTATAGTTGCACAACTCTTTAAATATACTAAAACCCATTGGATTATATACTTTAAACTGGTGAACTTTACAGATAGAATATAAATTATATTTCAACAAAGCTGTTTTAAAAATACAAATTAAGACATAAAATAGGAATGGCTAGGAGGCAGATTAAGATTCGCAGGTTTATAAATTTTGGGTTTAGATAGTAAAGATGGACCTGATGGTAGATTTAGTGCTCAGGTTCTAGAAGCCTGCAATAAAGGTTTCTCTATCTTAACACTCTAGGAATTGGGACTTTAAGTTAATTTCCCCATAGGCATAAAGATGAAATCAATTCTCCTGATCCTATTTCCTTAACCACCTCCCAAATTATAAATATAGTTTACCATCTTTAGGATACAATGATTAAGCCAAACCTTCCCAAAATTTTCAAATCTACTGGCTTTAACAGAGATAAGAATCCTTCCTATCACATTTTGGGGGAATTTCAGATAATTAACAACCATACTTACCTAGGGAAAAGGATGAGAGGAAGTAAAGAATCAAAAGGCTGGACTCTAAATTATAGACTGGACATTTAAAGATGGTGCTGATTACATACAGGGAAGTGACATTAATTCTAATGCAGAGCCAGGGTTGAAAATCAAAAACCACGTACTAATGGTGTGATCTGGAGGAAATCATTTAATTTCTCAAAACCTTAAATTTTCTCAATTCTAAAATGGGTTAAGTACCAGTTCCCACCTGAAAAGCTGGCTGTGTGAAGGCATATATTCTATGTAAATTTTCAGCACAGCAATTAGCATGCAGTAAGAATTTAATACTGTTTCCCCACGATATGTGAAAATAAAGTTAATTTTAGTCCTTTCCATCACCTATAACTGATTATAAAGATCCAGAAAGATGACAGCCTGTAACAATTTTTTTAACATTATTACTGTATTTAATATATCCAGGCAAAGTGGCTAAAAAGGGTTCACAAGTAGATGAACTACAATAAACCCCAAGTATTAAAAATAATCTGGGTCCTCTCTCTCATGACCTTTGAGAACATTATATTACTGCAATTTAATCACCAGTTCCAAAAGATCATACAGATCTTACAAGATCCACTGACCAGATCCTATAAATATTAACTCCAATTCCAATCATAAAAAGAACTGCTTGGGAACCATTCCCCGCTAAACCCACTCATTCCAGCTAAGCCTTGATTGTTTTTGGCTGACTACAGCTTTGAATTTCATTGACTAAAAACAAAACAAAAAGAACCCAACCCTCACCATTAACTTATATGTCGGGTAACTCTTAATTTAACTTAAATATTCTTGAAAAGTACCTACCAAAAATTCTGTTCACTTTTGCCCTTAAAACACTGTTTGCTCCATCTCAGTACTGCCCCCTTCCAATCTAGGAATCAGCAGCCCACGAGGAAAGCTGAACTGGATGGATGGAGAAACCACAGGCAAGCGAGCCCAGCCCACAATGAGTAACACAGCATAGACAACTCTAAGAGTCACGGTGATAGTGGCTTCCTTGGGTTAAGAACGGCCACCAGCCAAGATCGCAGATAAATCCCACGTGCATTACATAATCACAACCAACTAAAACAATGTTACTCCCATTGGACAGGCAGACAGTGAGATTAGGGCACCTAACCTAACTCTGGCACACCTCTGAGAGAGGCGATACCACGAATGAGACACGAACGTTTTGTTCTTTGGGGTTTTTTTTCCCTCCCAGAGACCAAGCTCTTTCCAGTACACCGCTACGCTCGTGCCCCTCGGGAGAGCTTCTAGGAAACGCAACGCTCCTCCGCCCACCCGCACAAATCCACAGGTGCGCCACCGGAGCCGCCGGCCCGCCCGCTGGGAGCCCCGCCCCTCCGAGGCCCGGACGGCCCCTCAGGCCAAGACCGCAGCTCCCAGGTCCCTGGGCCTCATTCCAGGCCGGGAGCGCCAGCCCGCCCAGCCCTTCCGACCCCGGCGCCCCATTGTTCGGGATCTCACTCACCTCGGAGGATACCGGTGCAGTCCCGGCTGGGGCGCTCGTGCCAAACTCCCGGCGGCCCAGAAAGCTAGGTCGGTGACGGCAGGATCCGCGAAGGCGTACCCGGCGACTTCTCCGCCGGCCTTCAAGAGCGGGAGCAGGCGGGGGCGCTTCACCCTCCTCGCGAGACAGCGGAGACCCCGGCGGCTGCTGCGACCCCTGTGACGTAAAGCGCTCATCACCAATGGCAGCTTGGGGGACGGCAGCAGAAAGCGAGACCCACTCCGCAAACCCCCGCGCGTCAAAACACAACACCCGCGTGCGTAACGCATGCGCGGTAGAAGGGCGCCGGCACTGAGGGCGGGGCCTAAAGTGCTCGGCCAAGCCCGCGCCCTTCCCCCACCGGCCCCTCCGTTCCTGGAATAAGAACTACGAGAGACCCTCCCGGGCACAAATCACTGCCATCACTATCATTCTTGTTACCAGTAGTTTCTGGGGTTACAGGAGTAATACTTAATATTCCCTCCTAAATTACCCGGAAAACACGATAACTAGCTTGGTCTCATTTAAATCTCACCAAACTCTGGGAGAAGTTACTAAAATTATCTTTAGTGTATAAAGGAACTCAGTTACTTGAAGTGACCGCCTCCGGTTGCACAGCTAGGTCATAACACGGGGATTCGAATGCAATCCAAAGCCAGAGCCCAACCAGTGTCCTACCCAGTCTTCATAAAGAAATCTACTCCAGTCTAGGGATAAACAGGGATTACCTAAGAGAACAGGACCTTAAAATCTTCCCAAGACAGACGACATTTTTCTCTCAAAGGAATACTTTTCCCCTTCCCCATTCCCCGGAATCTGGATTAAAAACCTCTTTAGGTGATATCTGAGATGTATAGAGACAACGTCTGAGCCTAAAGCGGCCCACTGCCCCACCCTACCCACAGGCCTCAGATGTGAGCGTCCCAAACATTCTAGAGCTAAACTAGGTATAAACCGCCCACGTACAAAATAACGTCTTTGGCTTATTATCCGATACGTGCTACCGTTCTAAGCACACCATAAACGCTCAAAACACACTTGTTGATTAGCAGGTACATTATGCCAAGTAATTCGTGCTACGTTATTTCTTCTTAGAAATACCATTTACATTCACAAGCCACTGCGTTCTCAAAGACTTGTTTCTTGAGGGGCTCAATTAACAGGCACTCCCACAACGATTCGTCGCTGTTATATAAAAGTGGGTGGTACTCTTGTTTAAGTCAATGATGACTATACAAACGTCTCTCTGTATTATGTGGAAACAAATAGGGGAGGAAACGTTAATCCCTCCAGCGTTAGAAGCCCATGTAATATTTAAAATGATTTTTTCAAATAAAATTTTAAATGCTCACGACGGTACATCTTGCGTGAATACCGCACTGCAACTGAAAGAAGACCGGTTCGCAAGGCACGCCCATCTAAGTAGCAAAAAAGGTCATTTTTAACATGTTTTCTCCTTTATCCCATCCCCTCCCTCCACCGCGAGCTAGGGCCCCGTATCACGTGAGCCCGCCCCCAGCTCCGGGCGGAAGAGGCCGGCCCGGCTGATGGGAAACGCTCCCGGAGGCGAGGGGCGGGCGCTTGTGCCCGGCTGAAAGATGGCCGCCGCCGCTCGGCAGCCGCCGCCCCGGGGGTTACTCTAGGGCCTGCAGTTTCCCTCCGTTACCGCGGGCCGCCGCCGCCAACTTACCATGAAGCCAGTGAGTCGCCGCACCCTGGACTGGATTTATTCAGTGGTAGGTCCCTGGTCTGGCGAGGCTCTACGGTGTCGACTCCGTAGGCCCGCAGGCGGAAGGCCCCCTATTTCTTCAGCGGCCAGAAACTCCAAAATCCATTCCTGTATTAAGGCTTATCACTCTCTCACCTCGACTCCGCCTCTTCCTGGAAGACACGCTCTTCCGCTTCTTACGTAAGGGCGGCTGGGTGTACTCGCCTCCGGAACCCCATTTATTCGAGTTTTTCACTGAAATTCCCACCTTAGCAATGTACGCGGCAACCTCTTGGGGCGAGGGGAGGGAGGCAAGTATCACTTACAGTAATTTTTTTAATTTCCGCTCTTGCTTTTTTTTTTAGTTGCTCCTCTCGATCGTGTTGCTCTCTTGGGGATATGTCATCTATGCATCAACAGTGGCCGCACGACGACAGCTAAGCAAGGAATACCCAGACAAAATCTCGGGGATGGATGAAAATTTGTAATTCCTCTGGATTTAATTCTGTGCACGCAGTCCTTTACCTGATGCTTATCTGGCACGTGTCTAGATTTAAAGTAAAATCCATTATGCAAAGTTTCCAAAGTTATTTTTGCAGTCCTTTGTAATAACCACTAATCTGCTAATTTTCACAGAGGTTTGTCTTCTACATTCTTACATAAATCAACTTAGATCTGACAACATGTGAGTACTGGATCATAGGTGGAATGACATGCTTTTCAACCTAGAGTTTCTAAATAACCTCTTAAAATGCCTCAGTCTTCTCTAAAAGTGGGTGCAGTTGCTGTTCTTATATTTGCTTATTGCAACATTTCATTCTGTTGCATACCTTCACATAAGATTAGATTAAGTACTGTGTAGGAAAAAAACTACCACGTGACTACTTTTCTATCCTGTTTTTCAAGTTAAGAATGGCCAGAAAAAGGTGATCACTCATATTTCTTTAGCTTATCCAATTTTTACTTATTGTTAAATAATTCAAAGAGTTGCAAATTGTACAATATTTGTGAAGAAATAGACAACACATATCTCAGAGTAAACTTTATTAAAGTTACTTTTCCAGAAAATATATTCAGTAAATACAGTAATACAGCAACAAACTTGGCCTCATACACCTTTGAAATTTTAAAGTAATCTTCAATGATGTTGATCAGGAAATTCTTTCATTGGTGGAATTACTTCTCCAGTCTCCAGAATTGTATCACCCTAAAAAAACAAAGATGCATTAGTAGAAAAATCTTTGTCTGCAATGATGATAGTTCCACTTGATCAGATCGCACATGGAAAATCTAGTTCAGTTCTGGCATTCACATTTTGAAAGGGACTTAGACAAAGTAGAAGCTGTCTAAAGATGAGCAATATTCAGAATCTAAAGGTGTAAGTGAAGGAAGTATAAGGGGAAGTTTCACTCAAAATGTCCAGAAGGGGCATGAAAGTGGTTTTCATAAAGTGATAAAAAGATAATGTTTATTTTGCATGGCCCCAAGAAATAGGAAAAGCCCTAAAAGAAGTTACAGGGAAACATCTTCAGTCCAACCAGCAACTGAATGTGTTAGGCAATCACGTTTACCACTTGGCTCAGATGTGAGAGACAGAATGCAAACTTTGGGTAGCTGATTTAGGTTCTTTTCAAACCTAGATACAATATGTGTGGTAGAAAGGGCATGGGCTTTGGAGCCAGAACCAAGAGGTGAGAATCCTAGAACCTTCACTAAGAAGCTGTATTATTTTAGGCAAATTACTTAGCTTTAGTTTCATCTTTGTGTTTAAGAGAGCAGATTTTGTGAGCCTAACAGTCCATGAATGACGGTAGAGTAGAATTATCCCCATCCCCACACTTGCCATTCCCTGACCCCGGTAGTGTTCAGGACTGGTATCTGATGAAGAAATAAACTTTTATTATGTTTAAGCCATTATACATTTGGGGGGTAATTCGTTACTCAGTTGGCATTACCCTAACATAGCAATTAATACTCTATAAAGTGGTACTAATGCCACTGTAATGAAAATCGAACCAATGGCACTGGCTTAACAGTGGAGGCAAGGTAACTGACATTGGAGGCTAAAAGATGGGGCAGCAGTAACTTGGAAACAGTGAGGTTCTAGGAGAAGTAGCTGAAAAAAAAATTGTAGTATCTGTTTGACTACTACTAGCTGCCTTGGGAATGTACTTTTAAGAAACATAAGCTCAGGTAGGAAGAGGCTGATTTAAGAGGAGAAATAAAAATGGAAAGAAGAAAAAAATGCAGGACCTTGCAGTACTGGCCAATCACGTTGCTTCTGGTTCTTTAAATACTAAGAGTTAACAATGAAGAGATCCTGAGATACAGAAGCCCAATAAAACTCAGAGGGACTCTGTCCCATGGCAAAGATCAGACTGATCTTGAACCAATTTTTCTAATGTCTTTCACATAACTGACACGGAGTTAGAGGCAGCTGCATGAGTACAAAGAAATGAGAGAACTTGGTAACTACACAAAGCATAGATGCATATGGGACTGACTAGAAGCAAACAGACTCCCATCAAGTATTTTTCTTTCCTAACTACCAACTGTTGTGGAAACTAGATGGTCAAAGAAACCAGACATACGCGACAAAAGCCTATGAATGTCTGAGCTTAAAACAACTTCTGGCACTCGGGCGCCCGGGGGGCTGTCGTTAAGCGTCTGCCTCCGGCTCAGGTCACAATCCCAGGGTCCTGGGATAGAGCCCCGCATCGGGCTCCCCGGTCAGCGGGAAGCCTGCTTCTCCCTCTCCGACTCCCCCTGCTTGTTTTCCCTCTCTCGCTGTGTCTCTCTGTGTCAAAAAATAAAATCTTTTTAAAAAAATAAAAATTAAAAAAATAAAAAACAACCTCTGGCATTCAACCTATGAGAAGGAGGCAAATTTTAAAGGCTATACAACCCTAAGAAGGGCATGCTTCCCGTACCCATTTTAGAAGTGGTCTAGGTTGAAAATGGAAAAGAAAAGAAAACAAAACAAAAAACCAAAAACTCTGGACAAAGCCAGGGGCCAGGAAGAACAATGAACAAAGGTATTCCAGAAAACAAAATCAGTGCCCATGCAGGTCACTTACAGCACACGGGGGTTAGGAATCTTTGTATCCGACCACTAGGATTTAAGAATTGCCAAGAACTAATAACTGAATTCCACCACTGAGCAATGGGTGTGTTTGGGGGTGGTGTGGGGGAGACAAGGCATGCAGTTAACTGGCCTTCTTAATTCACTGATCCTCAGATCCCAAGAGAAGTCACATCATTGTACAGCAGCCACACTACTGTACAATATCTGGATGTCCTACATTTGGGGCTGGTTGCAGTGAAGGATGGGACTCTGGGATTTCCCCCTAGGGAAGGAACTGTGTTATATGTGTGGGGAGAAGGAAGCAAAGAGCTATTTGGTAATTAGAAGGATGGACTGTGGCACAGACTCCAGGCATGGTAGGCTGGGAAATATAAAAGAAGCACATAGATATGTGGGACAACGACAATGAGTTCTGGCCAACAGGATCTGAAGAGAAGTGATATAAGCTAGTTCCAAGTTCAGACCTTAAAATCCTCCTGAGATGTCCATCCCTCTCTTTCCCTTAACATGATCTTTGGAAGCCTCATATTCTAGATGGTGTAACTGTAAGATTGTGGAGAAAGCCTGATGTGTATCAGTCTATGATGTCAATAAGAAACAGACCTTTGTTTTGTTAAGCCACTGAGGCCTGAGGGTTTGTTACTGCCTATCCTAATACATGTACAAATGAGCATTCTTCAGGTCCTCACAGGGGAAGCTTCTTAAAGGGTCAATGGCACAGAAACAGAACCACAGTGGCAAAAAAGTAAAATAAAATACAGAACTAGGCAAAATGCTATGGAATCACTGTGGTCTTCCAAAGAGAGCCTCACCCTTCCTTTCCTTTGAACAGCAACAGCAAAATAAAGTGATAAATATGTCAATGGAAGATTAAATAAATGACCCAACTGGTGAAACCAGTAACATAGTTTCCTATTCTGAGACTACGTAGGCCCTGACACACATTAATTATACACAACAAAATATAGAAGAAATCTCCTATTTCCTAAAGCTGAGTTTCAACTGAAGGATTAGTTAATTTTGGTGGTTCGCCCTTAAATTCCCTTCTGTTGCAGACGATTATGGATTGTTGTGACTATATCATTTGATTGAAGCAAGAACCAACACTGAGTTCTGTTTTTTAAAATTACAGAACTTAGGGCACCTGGGTGGCTCAGTTGGTTAAGCGACTGCCTTCGGCTCAGGTCATGATCCTGGAGTCCCGGGATTGAGTCCCGTATCGGGCTCCCTGCTCGGCAGGGAGTCTGCTTCTCCCTCTGACCCTCCTCCCTCTCATGCTCTCTGTCTCTCATTCTCT